TGTTCATAAGAGAGATAGATCTGAAGTTCTCTTTTTTTGTTGGGTCTTTGTGTGGTTTAGGTATCAGGGTGACTGTTGCTTCATAGAATGAGTTTGGTAATGTACCTTTTGTTTCTATTTTGTGGAATAGTTTGAGAAGAATTGGTGTGAACACTTCTTTGAAGGTCTGGTAGAATTCCGCGCTGAAACCATCTGGCCCAGGGCTTTTTTTGGAGGGGAGACTGTGAATGACTGCTTCAATTTTCTTGGGGGATATAGGGCTATTCAGTCTTTCTACCTGATCTTGACTTAATGTTGGAAGATGGAATCTATCAAGAAAATTGTCCATTTCATTTAAGTTTTCAAATTTTGTGGCATATAGGCTTTTGTAGTATGACCTAATGATTGTTTGAATTTCCTCTGTGTCTGTAGTTATGTCACCCTTTTCATCTCTGATTTTGTTGATTTGGATAGACTCTCTCTGCTTTTTAGTTAGTTTGGCTAAGGGTTTGTCTATCTTGTTGATTTTCTCAAAGAACCAGCTTTTTGTTTCATTGATTCTTTGAATAGTTTTATTTGTTTCTAATTGATTGATTTCAGCCCTGAGTTTGATTATTTCTAGCCTTCTGCTCCTCTTGGGTGTATCTGCTTCTTTTTTTTCTAGGGTTTTCAGTTGGGCCATTAAGTTGTTTGGATGTGATGTTATGAATTTCTTCTTGCAGGCACTTAGTGCTATAAATTTTCCCCTGAGCACTGCTTTCAATGTGTCCCATAAATTTGGGTATGTTGTGCCTTCATTTTCATTGAATTCTATGAAGTCTTTAATTTCTTTCTTTATTTCTTCCTTAACCCAGCTGTCGTTGACTAACAGGATGTTCAGTTTCCATGTGCGTGTAGGCTGTTTGTTATTTCTGTTGTTGTTGAGGTCCAGCTTAAGTCCATGTTGGTCAGATAGAATACAAAGGATTATTTCAATCTTTTTGTATCTGTTGAGGCTTCCTTTATGACCAACTAGATGGTCTATTTTGGAGAAAGTTCCATGCGGTGCTGAAAAGAAGGTATACTCTTTTGAGTTTGGATGAAAAGATCTGTAGACGTCTATTAGGTCCATTTGATTTAGGGTCTCTGTAAGTGTTTTTATTTCCCTATTTGTTTTCTGTCTAGTTGATCTGTCCCTTGGTGAGAGTGGAGTGTTGAAGTCTCCCACTATTAGGGTTTTAGGATCAATGTGTGATTTACGCTTTAATATTATTTCATTTACGAATGTAGGTGCTCTTGTATTTGGGGCGTAGATATTCAAAATTGTGATGTCCTCTTGGTGGATTTTTCCTTTGATGAGAATACAGTGGCCGTCCTTATCTTTTTTGATTAACTTGGGTTGAAAGTCTATTTTATTAGATATTAGGATGGCTACTCCCGCTTGTTTTCTGGAACCATTTGCTTGAAAGACAGTTTTCCAGCCCTTTACTCTGAGGTAGTGTTTATCTTTGTTGCATAGGTGTGTTTCTTGGATGCAACAGAATGATGGATCCTGTTTCCGCAACCATTCTGTTAGTCTGTGTCTTTTATTGGGAGTTGAGTCCGTTGATGTTGATAGAAACTAGTGACCAACAATTGTTACTTACTTTAGATGTGGTGTTGGTTGTGTCAGTGAGTTTCATTGCTTGTCTTCTTTTGGTTTTTTTGTTGTGTAGCTATCTATTTCCTCCTTTTCCTTCGATGTAGTTGTTTTCTTTGGTTTGGAGTTTCCCTTCTAGTAACTTCTGTAGACCTGGGTTACTATGTAGATATTGTTTAAATTTGGTTTTGTCTTGGAATATTTTGAAGTCTCCGTCTATGTTGATTGAAAGTTTTGCTGGGTATAGTAGTCTGGGTTGGAATCTGTGGTCCCTTAAGGACTGTATAATTTCTGTCCAGGCCCTTCTGGGTTTCATAGTTTCTGTTGAGAAATCTGGTGTGATTCTGATAGGTCTACCTTCATATGTTACTTGGCCTTTTTCCCTTGCTGCTTTTAGAATTTTTTCTTTGTTTTGTAGGTTCAGTGTTTTGACTATGATGTGACGTGAAGAATTTCTTTTCTGGTCTAGTCTACTTGGTGTTCTGTAGGCCTCTTGTATGTTTATGGCCATCTCCTTCTTTAAGTAGGGAAAGTTTTCTTCTATAATTTTCTTGAAAATATTTTCCGGACCTTTGAGCCTGATGTCTTCTTTTTCTTCTACTCCTATTATTCTTAGGTTTTGTCTTTTCATGGTGTCCTTCATTTCTTGGATGTTTTGTGTTTGGAACTTTTCTGATTTTATTTTTTCTTTGAGAGACGTGTCAATTTCCGCAAGTGTATCTTTGGCTCTTGAGATTCTTTCTTCCATCTCTTGTATTTTGTTGGTGATGCTTACCTTTGTAGTTCCTTATGTTCTCCAGCTCCTGGTTTTTCTCTATTTGTGTTTTCTTTATTGATTCTAATTCTGTTTTCATGTCTTGCACCGTTTCCTTCATCTGTTTGAATGTGGACTCCTGCTTTTCAATGATAGCTTCTATTTTTTTGTCCGTTTCCTCTCTATGTATCACTAATTGTGCCTCTACTTCTTTGGGTATAATTGCCTGTATTTCTATGAGAGCTTTGTTTATTTCTTCTTTATTTGCCTTCATTTGTGTGGACATTTCTTTGAGAGCTTTGTGCATTTCTTCTATGTTTGCCTCAATTTTCGTGGTCATTTCTCTGAGAGCACGATTTGTTTCCTCTTGGTTAGTCTCGATTTCTTTGGTTATTTCTCTGAGGGCTTTGTTCATTTCATCTTTATGGGCCTCTAATAGCTGGAGAAACATAGTTTTGAGGTCGTTTTCTTGTATATCTAGTGAATTGAAGTGTCCATTGTTTTGTGGGTTGCTGGTGAGGTCATTATGTCCTGATTTTTGTTGGGAGTGTTCTTATGTCTGCCTCTAGCCATCTGGTTATTTATAATCCTCACTAGTTGTTCCTCGAGATTGTAGTTTGGGCTATGATCCTCTCTTTCTGTTTTCTGGACTGTTTTTTCAGGAAGATGAGAGAGGTTCACTGCTTTGGGAGTGTGCACTGTGTTTTCAGTTTTGCCTAAGTAAGGAATGTGACGCTGGCGCTATTCGAGTGCGCTTTTAGAGGGCGCAGTGTGCATGCGCGGATTCTCTGACTATTGTAGTGGCCTGCAAGCCACTATTACGAAGTTCTGACTGAGATCCAGGGATTGTTTGCCTGGATTATCCTGGTGGACCCGCAAGGCAGAGGCTTCAATGTTGGGGTCGCTATCCCAAGAATCCCTATTATGCCCACACTAGGGGTGTGGGTGGCAGGGATATCGTCTGGTTGCTTCTTTGGAGGGGCCCTGGGTCTGGGACAATCTCTCCCTAGAACGCTCACTCACTCTCTTGCAGGACCAATTGGAATGCACAGGGGTTCCCCTTGCTCACTACTCTCTGTTTTGGTCCTGCTGCGGAAGTGCATGGGTAGGCTAATAGTCAGCTCTGTGACACTGTGGCTGCAGGACTCGGTGTCCACCTTTCCTGTGTGCTGCCTCTTTGTCCTTTCCTTCTGCCAGGAGGGGTTATGTTGACTGGACCCTGGGTGGCGCGGGTAAGAGTTAGGATGAGTGTACTCAATCCCAGATCCCGGGCTCAGATCTCTCTGCCAGAAGCAGCCTAGCAGTAGAATCTATGTTTGCTGATCTCAAGAGAGTACCGGGTAGGTTTGAGTGTCCTCAGATCCAGAGCTTGGGTTTCTCTGCTAGGGGCCCCTGGGTGAGCTGGAGAGAGGGTGCTGTGTCCTTGGCAGGCTGCCTCTCTGTCCTTCCCCTCTGACCTTCTCCTCTGCTAGGGCAAGCTTATGGAGGTGCTCTCAGGGGAGTGCCAGCAGGGGTTGGGGCTTCTCAGTCGGATCCTGAGCCCTGAGCCGGCGTTTCTCTGCCAGGGTTCGGGGGGGGGGGCGCCGGTGATAGAACTTGCTGCTAGACCTTATTGTGCTGGACCCAGGATAATCTCAGGATGTGTAGAATGACCACAGTCCCAGATCCCGAGCTGCAGTTTGTTTGCTAGGAGCAGCCGGCAGCACTGGAGTTCGGCACTGTGAAGCAGCTGTGTGCCTCTTTATCCTTCTGCTCTGCTGTGGCAGGGCTATGCCGACATTTGGGGGAGTGCCTGAAAGGACTGGGTTTTCTCAGCCCCAATCTCGGGTTAGGGTACAGACAATGTGGTCTGTGGCAGATTCTGCTGGACGCCTCCTGCCTCCTCTGAAGAGGGAGTAGGGATTTTGAGCTGGATGCGCAGTTGCAATCCGTGTGCGGAGGGAGCTCAATTGTGATGGTGGCAGGTACCCGTGGTTGGAGAGACCTTCCAGGGAAAGACTGGGTGACCCGTGACCAGTCTGGCAACTTTCCTTCCCCGTGGGGTTTTTTTTGCGACTGGGACTCTCAGCCTCAGGCACCCTTGTGCCCACCAATCAGCCTGGGAAAGTGATCAGGACAAGCATGCTTGCAGCACTAGCCCGGAGACCCAAAGCCCGCGTTAGCCGGGTTCTCTTCTGGGTTCTGGCTGGGCAGCCGAGAGTGGACCCGATCGATTCCCATGCCGTGGGAGCCTCCCCTCACCTGGGAAACACGATAGCTGTTGTTTTAGGGCCCAGAGTTCAGTCTCCTGGTCGCTGCACAGAGTGTGTTGTCCTGCTTCTCAGACGTGGTGTTCTCCCGGTGCCGCCATCTTGGCCCCTCCCCTCTTTCCCCTAGGTTGCTCATTGTATGAGCTCATGCAATGCCAGTTTATCCTAACTTTAAAATGTACATGTAATAGCGCCAGTTTTGAGGGTAGAGAGAGGGCAGGTGTTGTAAAGCACCTACAATGGGATTTGGATTCTCTTCTTAGACCCATGAGTGTTAGAGGAAGGTCTCTAGGACACTCTTCATCTGAAGTCAGGTCCCTCTCCTGTCCTCAGTGGGGACATCAGGTTTTTAGTGATGAGAGTAAAGATAGAAATGACAACATTAGGAAATTAAACTTACAAACTGATTGGTTTGTTTGCCACTGAGAACCATCTTGTCTGAAATCTGTCCCAGAGTCCTCCGATCATCTAGAGCAATTATTGAAATAATTAATAATTAATAATTAATGGTCTTATTGTAATTTCATAGATTCAAGCTTTGTTTCTTTAGCAGGCTCCTCACATCATAGCTGAGCCTAAACTTTGGGAAAGCCCTTCCCAGTCATCCTAGCCACTCTGGCTGGGGTGCGGCTTTACCTTCTGAGTGTGTGGGTCCTGGGTCTTTGTTCAAATTTCTACCCCTACCCTATTTTTTCCAAGTTGGAATATGCCCCATGTCCACCTTCTCCAGGTGACATGGTTTCCCTATGTGAAAGCTTTAGCTTCACTTTCTGACAGACACTTCCCCACTGAGGCCCTTTGCAGCCTTTCCTTTACAGCTTTGCACAGAGACTGAACAACTTATGCGGGGAGGACTTTAGATATGCAAATCAGTTAACGCAGAGGAAATGGAATGAAATGACCAGTTTACATGAGGTATAAAATTCTTTTGAAGTAAATGAAAAATCCTTAAAAATAAATGAAGTCTACACAACGTTTTTCCTTAACTGGTTTTTACTTCTATTTAACAATCTGATGTCTGAATGTTTATATTAAAGCTATATTTTTTCCTCTCATTATTTCATTCTCTATGAAAGCAGAAGACACTTTACTAGGGTATGTGGGCTTCCTAATTGGGGGTCAGGGACTCTTTAGGATGTAATTGGTTTCCCTCTTTATACTGTGGTTTTTATATCCTCAAAAACTTCATTATGAGAAATCATCCAACTATGACCCAGACTAATGCTGCGAGCTGTGGCATCAAGCAGAAGGGGATAAGGAAACAAGAGGTGTTTTGCAAGCATGAAGCATGGCATCTAAGGCAGTATTGGGAAGACAGAAGTCTGGGCTTCACTGATACTTGGGGTTCTTCTTGGCACAGATTTTTTAAAGTGATGGGACATTGCAGAGTCCTGTAGGGAATATGGCACTCAGAGTTCACTAGAAAGGGAAAGTAACACAGAACAGGTAAATGACAGAGTACCAGCTACATGTCTTGTCAAATGGCTTGCATTCCATGTTCTGAAAAAGATGGGCATGCTCAGTGTAGTCACACAGACAGATCCATACTCTAGAGAAAGTGCTGCAGCTACAATAGGGATTTGGGACCAATAGTACACTGGACAAATTCTTTTTAACACTCAGAGACAGAATCAACGGCCATCTCTCTGAGAGCTCCATTTGCTATGTTGTGTCACATAACCGGCAACATTACAGAGTAGTCTACAACACATGGATCATCCTATTCTGCTTGAAGAGTGGGCAGCCAAGCTCTAAATCCTATGGCCAGCACTATGCTCAGCACAGATTGCCTAAAAGAATGACATCCTTTTGTTTTCTTCACTACTTAACATTCTTCTGTAATTTTCAAAATGAATAGCCACCACAAATGGCTTTAAGGGAGAAGTCATAGTAAACATTTTCAGTATTTACAGTGAGAAAAAGTTTTCAGTTACCAATGACCTATGATGATATCACTTTCAGTTTCATATGTAATTCTCAATAACAAAATAACACTGAGGCTTGAGTTTGAGTTAATTTGCAGTCACAGCAAGAAGCAGGTGCCATGGTCAGGGATGCTTACTGACCTGGGTTATGGCTGGCACACTTTCATATCTTCTCAGTGTAAAACACTGTGAGATTTGGTCAGCAGCTTTTTCTGCTGTTGTTTTTTCTGGATCAGGTTTTGGTGATAGCATCTTGTCCCAAGGAACATGTTCATAAGCTCTGGGTAATTATTAAATAAGGACATATTTAATAAAGAATATACAAAGCACATATTTACAGCAGGGTATTAACACTATCCAATTCACAAATAAGTCATATCTTTGAAAATCTATTTTGGGAGTCAGGGCATCAGGTAGGCAATCTTTATTCCCCCTTCAATCCCCATTCCAGTCTCCCAGGTTATCACTAGCACTGTAGCCACAAAGTGTGGCTGCTGTGGCATCTCCTTCCTCTCTATCCCCATTCCTAGGTCACTAAACAGATCCTTGTGGCAGACCCAGCTTTCCTCCTTCCAGTACACCCTCTCACCTGCCTCCCTCTTCCAGGACATTCCTATTATGTCCTATCAACCCCTAGTAATACAGCCTGTCTGGGACCCTGAGTGGCTGCAAGTGGCAGGCTCTCCAAAGTACTCCCTACCAGAAAACCCACAGCCACCACACTCTCCTAAGATCCAGAGAGGGCAACACAAATGAAATGAATGAGGCACACACCCAACAAAGATAAAACCATACATCATCAAAACTAAAATAATAATCATCTCAAACCCACATGCCTAGATGCATAAAAACACAATAACAGCTAAGAAAATTTGTCTGCAGTAGAGGCAAGCAAGACGACTATAGTGGGTACTGAGAGACGCAATGGAGCTGAAATAGAAGACAAGAACTTCAAAATAGCTGTTATGACTATGTTTAAGTTCCTTAAAGAGGATATGAATAAATCCATTAGTGAAATCTATGAAAACACAAACAGTGGAATGGAAAAAATACAGTTCAAAACATGAAAGTGGAAATGAACTCACTAAAGAAAACCCAAACTGAGGGAAAACTGGAAATGTAAATTTTAGGAACTCAAAAAGTAAGCTCAACCTCTCCAGCATGTGTTGTCACTTGAGTTTTTCATCTTGGCCATTCTGATGGGTGTAAGGTGAAATCTCAGGGTCGTTTTGATTTGCATTTCCCTAATGGCTAATAAGGTTGAGCATTTCTTTAAGTGTTTCTCTGCCATTCTATATTCCTCTACAGAGAATTCTCTGTTTAGCTCTGTTCCCCATTTTTTAATTGGATTACTTGGATTGTTGCTTTTCAGCTTGTTTAGTTTTTTATATATACTGGATATTTATCTGTCAGATAAAGGGTTGGTGAAGATTCTTTCCCGATCTGTAGGCAATAAAAAAAGAGGAAATCATGAAATTTGCAGGCAAATGGTGGGATCTAGAAAAGATCATTCTGAGTGAAGTATCCCAGAAGGAGAAAGACAAACATGGAATATACTCGCTTATATAGACCTAAAAGATATGATAAACGTAATGAAATCTATACACCTAAAGAAGATAATCAAGAAAGGGACACGAGGTATGATGATCAATTCTCATTTAGAAAGACAAATGGGATATGCATTGAACATATGACAGGAGTCTACCGCAGAAAGCATCCGAAAGACTCTACCTAGCAGTGTTCCAAAGTACATACTAAGACTCATAACCAAACCTTCGGCAGAGTGCAGGGAATCATATGAAAGAAGGGGAGTTTGATGTGGAAAGGATAGGAGCTCCACAAGGACCAAACATATCTGGGCACAGGGTCTTTTCTGAGATGGACACTCAACCAAAGACCATGAGAGGATAAAACCTAGAACCTCTGCTCGGATGTGACCCGTGATAGCTCAGTAATCAATTGGTTTCCCATAGTAAGGGGAACAAGGACTATTTCTAACAGGAGCTCAATGACTGGCTTTTTGACTTCCCCACCTCCCAAGGGAGGAGCAGTACTGTTAGGCCACAGAGGAGGACTTTGCAGCCAGTCCTGAAAATACCTGACAAAATGGAGTCATATGAAAGGGGAGGAGGTCCTCCCCTATCAGTGGACTTGGAAAGGGGCAGGGAGGAGATGAGGGAGGGAGAGTTGGATTGGGGAGGGAATGAGGGATACAGCATTAACAAAATGTAACTAATGAGAATAATAAAAAAAAAACTTTAAAAAAATAAACTTTGAAATAGTTAATATAAAAAAAGGTAAGCTCAGAGGCAAGCTTTACCAAAAGATTCTAAGAGATGGAAGATAGAGTTTCAGGTGTTGAAGACAAGATAGGAAAAAGGATACCCCACTCAAAGAAAATGTTAATCTAAAATGACCATGGCACGAAAAGTCCAGGAAATCTGGGACACCACAAAAAGACCAATTTTATGGATAATGGAAATAATGAAAAAAGAAGAAATCCAGATCAAAGGCATAGAAAATATTTTTACCAAATTCATTGAAGAAAAATTCATTAAACTAAAGAAGAAACTATCAGTGTGTAAGAAGCATACAGAACAATAAATAGACTGAACAAGGAAAGAAATTCTCTATGGTATATAATAATCAAAACATTAAATGTTCAGAACAAAGAAAAAATATTAAAATCTGAAGGGAAAAACATCAAATAACATGTAAAGGAAGATCTATTAGAATAATCCTAGGCTTTTTCATAGAGACTCTAAAACCCAGAAGGGCCTGGACAGATGTGCTAGATTCTAAGAGACCACAGATATCAGCCTAGACTGCTATAATCAGCAAAACTTGCAGTCACCATAGGTGGAGGAAGACATTCCAAAATAAAACCAAATGTAAACAATATCACTTTACAAATCCAGAAGGTGCTAGAAGAAAAAAATTAAAGCTGAAATGTTTAACTATGCCCAAGAAAACACAGGAATAAATAATCTCAGACAAATAAAGTGGGGGTGGGGTGGGAGAAATCATGATACAACAATAAAATAATGGAAATCCCCAAATACTGTTCATTGATATCTCTCAATATTAGTGATCTTAATTGTCCAATAAAATACAAAGATTAATATACTGGATTAAAAAATGGAATCCATCCTTTAGTTGCATCCATGAAAAACACCTTAGCAGAAAAAATAGACATTATCTCAGGGTATTCCTTCTTTTTATCAGTTCATGAAACTTTATCCAAAATTTACCACATGCTGGACACAAAGCAAGTCTCAATAGATCTAAGATAATTGAAATAATGCCCTCCATCTTTTTAAAAAATTTTTAATTACACTTTATTTACTTTGTATCCCCCTGTAGTTCCCTCCCTCCTCCCCTCCCAATCCCTCTCTTTCTTCTCCTTCTCCATGAATGCCCCTCCCCAAGTCAACTGGTAGGGGAGGGTTTCTTTTCCTTCCTTCTGATCCTAGTCTGTTAGGTCTCATCAGGAGTGGCTGCATTGTCTTCTTCTGTGGCCTGGTAATGCTTCTCCCCACTCAGGGGGAGGTGATCAAAGAGCAGGACAATTAGTTCATGTCAGAGACAGTCCCTGTTCCCATTACTACGGAACCCACTAGGATACTGAACTGTCATGAATGCCCTCCATCTTATCTGACCACTACAAATTAAGCTGGATATCAGTAACAACAGAAATAACAGGAAGCTTACAAACTTGTGGAAACTGAATAATTCACTATTTATGAAAAAATACATTTAAAAGGTATTAAAAATAAATTTAAAATAGTTTAGAATTGAGTGAAAATAAAAACATAACATATCTGAACTTTCATAACACAATGATGGTGGCTCTCGGAGGCAAGTTTAGAACACTAAGTGCCTACTTAAAAATTTGGATAGATCTCTTATTGGTAAGATTGGAAAGATCTCATATCAATAAAATTAGAAAGATCTCATATCAGTAACTTAACAGCAAACCTGAAAGATCTAGAACAAAAAGAAGAAATAACACCAAAAGGATATATAGCAAGAAATAATCAAAATCAGAGCTGAAATCAACAAAATAGAAACAAACAAAAAAACCAATACATAGAATCAATGAAACAGAGTTGATTTATAAGGAAATCAGTAAGATGGGCAAACCTTTGGCCAGATTAGCTAAAAGGCAGTGAGAGATGTAAAAGCACAGAGAAACATCTTAAGAGCATACTTTAAAAACCAAATTGGACAGAGGGCCTCTGAAAGCCAGAAGAAGAAAACAGGAAACAACCTAGGAACCTGCCACAGAGGGCCTCTGAAAGCCTCTGCCCTGCAGACTATTAAAGAAGATGCTGAGCCTGATGGCCAACTGTCGGGCAGAGTGAATGGAATTTTATGTAAGAAGTGGGAAATAGCAAGAGCTGGAGAGGACAGGAACTCCACAAGGAGAGCAACAGAACAAGAAAATTTGAACACAGAGACTCGTACTCCAACCAAGGACTATTCATGGAGATAACCTAGAACCCCTGCACAGATGTAGCCCATGGCAGTTCAGTGTCCAAGTGGGTTACATAGTAATGGGAAGAGGGACTGCCTCTGACATAATCTGATTGACCTGCTCTTTGATCACCTCCCCCTGAGGGGGGAGCAGCCTTACCAGGCCACAGAAGATGACAATGCAGCCACTTCTGATGAGAACTGATAGTCTAAGATCAGAAAGAAGGAGAGGAAGACCTCCCCTATCAGTGGACTTGGGGGGGGGCATGCATGCAGAAAGGGGAGGAAGGGTGGGGTCGGGAGGGGCTTATGGGGGATAAAAAATGAATAAAGTGTAATTAATAATAAAAATAATAATAATAAAAAAACCAAATTGGAAAAGCTAAAAGAAAATTAATAATTTCAAATAAGAAGCCCTGCTACAGCTTATAAGAAACTTGAAAATAAAGCTCAGAGGCAAGCCTCACCAACAGATTACAACAAATAGAAGAGATCTAATTGAATTATTGGCCAAAGGGACCCTGTGCAAAACCCCAAACAACCCAGGCTATTAACAATGCTATTGCTTGCTCTTCACAAACTGGTGGTAAGGCCCTATCACTGACGACACCACCTATACAACTCACTGAACATGGAGAAGTCAAACTGGTATCTAAGTAGAGCCCTTACCTCTACATGCTAATATGTCTTTGGTACAGAGAGGTGCTCTGCGTGCTGCCAAAGAAGAAAGGTAAAAACCAACCCAGCTACAAACCCTTACAACAGAGTTACAACGGTGACCTGCCTGCAGTATGTGTTAGTACAATAGTGACACTAAGCTTGTGAGAGTAACAAACCAATATCTGATACTGGGTTTAAGGCCTGCTCTGTGAGATGGAACTCATCCTTGACACTGCTTGGGTGACCAAGAATCTGAGGCTAGATAGCACAGGGACCTAGGGAAAAACCAGATGCTACTGCTCTGTTGAAAGCATATAACAATAAAATGACTCCTAATGACATTCTGCTATACTCATAGATCAGTATCTTGCTCGACCATCATCAGAGAAGTTCCTCCTGCAGTAGATACAGAAACTCACAGCTGGACAATGTACAGCTAGCTTTTTCAAGTGAGAGACCTTAGAACTCTCAGTCCTAAATGGGATGCCCCCATTAAATTCTTCCCAGTAGGACTCATAGAAGCCTGGAGGAGAGGAAGGAGAAAGATTGTAAAAGCCAGAGAAGATCAAGGTCATGAAAGAAACCAGCTGATGCCTGAGCCTACTCTCCACACCTCTTAACTACCTTCTTCTTTTATTCATGGGCTAAATCATCTACAAAAATAGGTTCTTTTTGTTTTCTCACTATGTTTTTTTCCTGTTGTCTGATTCTCTTTAAAATGAGAAAGCCTTAAGAGCAGAGAACTTGGTCTGTTTATTCACAGATGCATCTCACAGCCTAGGGCATAAACATGTTGATATGAGGCAGGATATAGGATCCTCTCATCCCAGAGTCTGAATGAAGCCCCTTATTTGCTGACATGCAAAATTTCAGCACACTTAACATTTGCTGAAAAGACTACCTATATCATATTGACCTTCCTTTTAAAATATACAAATTTCCTGTTCCAATAACAATGAACTGAGTTTAAGTCTTGCATGCATATAATCTTTTAGGACATCATTTCTTCCCCCAGATATCACTTGATAATCTCAAAAAAACTCTTCACAGTACAAGTTATTCTATCTTTCTGCAGCCTGTGGGTTTAAGCTGTAATTCCGCCAGGTGCTACCCAGAAACTACCCTGTAATCCCATTTATATGCCTTAGGAACTCTTTAAAGAGATGACACTAAACCCTACCAAAGTCCTTGACTGTTATAGAATAATGAATGTCTAGTCTCCTTTGAGGAGTGATATGCCTTACTTTCAGTCAATTTCTTAGAGAAGACCACATCCATGCTGCCAGAAAGCATCTTTCTCTTAGACTTTGTGCTTAAAGCCTATATAAATTATATTTTTATTAAGCATCAACTCTGCTTTATAAACTGGGTAGTTCTGAAATTCTTTCCTCTATCTATATCATGAATCCAGGTTTTCCTTAAGTCATGGTCACTAAGTCTATGAGAACTCAGGCTGATGAGCGTGTCAGTGGGAGCTAGCCCTCCTGCCTCTGTCCTAGAAAGTGCTGAGAGATTGATTCTGTGAATTGTCTTTGAGAACCAGGCGTGATGACCCCAAAGTCACCAGGAACTAGTGACCCCCTCCCAAGTCACTAGGAACTAGACCATAGGTCACCAATTACAGGAAGAAGATAATAAAATTCCCTACCCAAGGAACATCCTGGAGGTAAACACAAGAATGGGAAGGTATCTTATCTCAGGGTGGAAATACCTAATATTCCTGAGGTCTATAGATAGCTTGCTCAATGTTAGTTAACCACAATCACCTTGTAACAAGCTTGCCCTTGCTGATTATCACCAAATTGTGTAACTGCTAAGCTGTAATTTCCCAAACCTCACTGTGAACCAATAAAAACCCTCCTCTTTCTGAGCTAGGGGCTCTACACTATACACCACTGCATTGGTGACAATGTGGGACCAAGCTCGAGCTTGTATTAAAAGACCCTACTGCACTTGCATCGAATCGGCTCCTTGGTGGTCTTTGAGGTCTGTAAAACTTGGGCATAACATCTTCCTTTAAGCTTTCTCCAACATTGTTCTCTGGGGCATTGTGGTTGCTTTTTCTCCTTTCTTCCCTTCCCTCCCTTAATTTCCCCCTTTCTGAATTTTGGTTGTATTGACATAGTTTCTCCTTTCTCCTTTCTCTTTTCTCTCTCTTCTTCCCTCTCCCGTCTTTCCCCCATCACTTCCCCTTTCCCCTTCTCCTTCCTTTCTTCCTGTTCTCCCTCTACCCCCATTCTTCTTCTTCTCCCGCTTTCCCCTTCCCCCCTCATCCTCCACTCTCCCTTCCTCTCCTTTCCTCTCTCCCCTACCTTTCCATCTCCCTCTCATCCTCTTCTCACCCTCCCCCACTTGCCCCTCTGTTCTTCTGAGTTAGGCTCTTACATTACTTATTATTGTAAGTCCAGGCTACCCTGGAACTTACAATAATCCTCTAATACAGGCCTCTGAATGTATGGATTACAGGTGTGAACACATGTCTTTTTCAAGCCCTGATATGTTTGTTTTTTAGTCAACGTGAAAGACATAGTGACTTTGATTGATGTTCTTTGAATTATTCATATGATCCAGATCATTATTAACACATGCACCATTAAAATTTTTAAATAATTGAAAACTTTCATTGTGATAAAAGCTTACTTCTGTGTTGAAGATTTGTAAAATGCATCCTTTATATTATATTTCTTGCCTTGCTGGACAAGTGATCCACTATCATCCTACAAGATAGGAACAAGAAGTTAAAACAGACCAAGCGTAAATAAAATTGCTATTTTTTAACACTATGTTTTTGAATTTCCTTATGTACATGACTTGAACTATGTGTATGTATACATAGTTTAATGATTAACAAACTCAGATTTCTTAACAAATTCATCTACCCATAGTTATCTTTTGAGTGTGTTCAAGCCACTTAAAATCTGGTTTCTTTTTATGTACAAGTAATATTTTACATACAGACCAAGGTTATGTTTGGGAATATGTGTATATATATTAACATCTATGCATGTAACAACAATTTAAAAAAAAAGAGAGAGGCCGTGAATTTGAAAGATATAACAGAGGGGTATGTGGGAGTTTTTGAAGGGAGAGAAAGGAGCGAAGAAATGATGTAATTATACTATAATCTTAAAAAAGTAAAAGAAAAATGAAAAAAAAAATCTGGCTGCTTCTTACAATCCCAGCAAACAATACAATACTGATAGCTATAGCCACCATGATAGGCATCCTGTCTCTAGAACACACTCATCTTTGTTTGTATCTTCATATTTTATCCTCTCACCAACATTTCCACATTTCTCTATACTTACCCCATGCTTATTAGACTCTCTGCACATATATAAGAATATAAACATGTCTCTTTATGTGTCCAGTTTGTCTTAGTATAAGGTTCTATAGGTTATTCATGTTGCTGTAAATAGCAGGCCTACATTTTATGGCTGAATAATATTCTAGTGTATTTGCATATACCCAATTTTCTTTATCCATTCATTTGTCCATAGACAGTTATATAGTCAACCATGCTGTACTTTATAAATTGTTTCTTGGCCTTGGGAGGGGCCATGTGCCTGGAATTCCACCACTGAGGCCATGGAGATAGGAGAATCTGAAATAAAAAGCCATTCTCAGCCACACAGCAAGTTTGAGCTATCCAGGATTGACACGATATCTATCTCAAAAAACCCCCAATAAACTTAATTAAACATTAAAATAATTATCCTGTATATAAATTCTGCATTTCATTGATTTTTGACTAATATGTGCTTTGATCTTTCATGTATTTAGTTTGATTTAGTAATTTTTCTAATATCTTAAGATTGAAACAAATCAATTCCTTGTTTTTTAAATTAATTAATTCACTTTACATTCCATTTGTAGCCCCGTTTCTTCTCTCTTCCCATCCTCACCCCCTCCTTCACCTATTCCTTAGAAAAGGGGATCTTCCTATCCACTACCCCAGCTCATCAGGTTGCACGAAGAATGAGTTTGTTCTCTTCCCTTGTGGCCTAGTAAGGCAGTCCTGTCAAGGGGAAGTGATGAAAAAGCAGGCAACAGACTTCATATCAGAGACTGCTCCCCTTACTAGTAATCCCAAATGAAGCCTGAGCTGCCCATCTGCTACATATATGTATAGAACCTAGGTCCAAACCATTCATGGTCCTTAGTTGCTGTTTCAGACTCCACAGGCACCTCTGAGCCCTGGTTAGTTGGTTCCATGCGTCTCCTTGTGGAAGTCTTGTCACCTCTAGGTCCTTTTATCCTTTCCTGCACTTTCTCACTAGATTCCCTATGCTTCACCAAATGTTTGGTTGTGAGTCTCAGCATTTGTTTCAAACCATTGCTGGGTAGAGCCTCTCAGAGGACAATTCTGATAGGCACCTGTCTGCAAGAATAGAAGAGTATTGTTAATAGTGTGAGGGGTTGGCTCTCTTCCATGGGGTTGGTGTTAGGTTGGGACAGGCATTGTTTGGACATTCCCTCAATCCCTGCTCTATCTGTTCAAACTTTGTCCTTGCAGGTCTTGTAGGCCAGGTAAATTTTGGATCGATATTTTTGTGGGTAGGTTGCTGTTCTCTCTCCACTAGGAGTCTTGTCTAGTTAGAGAGTGTCCTCTTCAGTCTCCATGACCCCTGCTCCTAGAAGTCTCAGCTAGAGTCCCCTTCATATCTTCCCAGAGGCCTACTCTGACTTAGGTCTTCAGCTTGTCACAGAGATGCACCCCCTCCAGTTTCTCTTTTCTCTGCAGGCCTTCTGTCCTCCTTCCCCTGCTCTCCCCAGGTCTGATCTCCACCCTTACTTTCCTCTTCCCTCCTTTTCCTCCATTCAACCATTATCTCTGTCTATTCTATTTCTCTTTCTGAGTGAGATTTAAGCATCCTCCTTTGGGTCCTCCTTGTTACTTCTTGGAGTCTGTGCATTGTAGTATGTTTATCCTGTACTATATGGCTAAAATCTGCTTCTAAGTGCGTATATACCATGTGTGTCTTTCAAGGTCTGGGTTACCTCACTCAGGATGATCTTTTCTAGTTTCATCCATTTCCCTGCAAACTTCATGATTTTCTTGTTTTTAATAGCCGAGTAGTATTCCATTGTGTAAATGTACCGCAGTTTATCCATTCTTCGGTTGAGGAACATCTAGGTTGTTTCCAGATTCTGGCTCTTACAAATAATGCTGCTATGAATATAATTGAGCAAGTGTCCTTGTATGGTGGAGTATGTTTTGGGTATATGCCCAGGAGTAGTATAGCTGGGTCTTGAGGTAGAGCTATTCCCAGTTTTCTGAGAAAGCACAAGATTGATTTCCAAAGTGGTTGTACAAGTTTGAACTCCCACCAGCAATGGAGGAAGATTCCCTTTTCTCTACATCCTCACCAGCATGTGCTGTCACTTGTATTTTTGATCATAGCCATTCTTGAGGGGTGTAAGATGGAATCTTAGAGTTATTTTGATTTGCATTTTTCTGATGGCTAAGGAGGCTGAGCATTTCTTTAAGTGCTTCTCTGCTATTTGAGATTCCTCTGTTGAGAATTCTGTTTAGTGCTGTGCTCCACTATTTAAGTAGATTATTTTGTTTGTTGTTGTTTGAGTTATTTATATATTTTGGATATTAATCCTTTGTCAGATGTATGATTAGTGAAGTTCTTTTCCCAACCTGTAGACTGCCATTCCGTTCTACTGACACTGTCCTTTGCATTACAGAAGCATTTAAGTTTCAAGAGGTCCCATTTATTAATTATAGATCTTAGGGCCTGAGTTGTTGGTGTTCTGCTCAGGAAGCTGTCTCCTGTGCCAATGAGTTCAAGGATGGTTCCCACTTTCCCTTTTAATAGATTTAGTGTTCCTGCTTTTATGTTGAGGTCTTTGATCCACTTGGACTTGAGTTTTGTGCAGGGTGGTAAATATGGATCTATTTGCATTTTCCTGCCTATAGACATCCAGTTAGACCAGCACTATTTGTTGAAGAAGCTGCCTTTTTTCCATTGGTTCCTTCTGTTTCTATTTTGTGAAATGGTTTGAGGATTATTGGTGTTAGCTCATCTTTGATAGTATGGTAAAATTCTGACTAAAACCATCTGGCCCTAGTTCTTTTTTTGTTTTGTTTTTGGTTGGGAGAGTTTTAAGGACTGTTTCTGTTTTCTTATGGGTTCTAGGACTGTTTAAACTAATTACCTGATCTTTATTTAACTTTGTTAGGTGATATCTATCAAGAAAATCATTCACTCCCTTTAGACTGTCCAATTTTGTGGAATAGAGGCTTTTGAAGGAAGACCTGATGATTGTTTGGATTTCCTCAGTGTCTGTTATGTTTCCCTTTTCATTTTCAGTTTTGTTAATTTGGGCACTCTCTCTCTATCTTTTAGTTAGTTTGTCTAAGAGTTTGTCTATATTGTTGATTTTCTCAAAGAATCAGCTCTTGGTTTCATTGATTCTTTGTATTTTTTTTCTAATTTACTAATTTCAGCCCTGCGTTTGATTATTTCCTGCCATCGACTCCTTTTGGGTGTGTTTTCCCCTTCTTCTTCTTCTTCCTCCTCCTCCTCCTCTTCTTCTTCTTCTCTCCTTCTCCTTCTTCTCCTTCCTCCTTCCTTCCTTCCTCCCTCCCTCCCTCCCTTCTTTCTTCTTTCTTTCTTTCTTTCTTTCTTTCTTTCTTTCTTTCTTTCTTTCTTTCT